TGGGGCATGAGCCTATTCGCTTCACCAGGAGGTATCTCAGCATTGCCCTGCCAAGGATTAACGTCCCTCCCTTCCCTCTCTGGTACCAGATTTTTTTTTTTTGGGGGGGGGGGGGGTGAAGGGTGGGGACAGTAAGCATATGAGCAAAAGAAGTCAAAATGGTGCAGGGGTATATGCTTGACCATAGAGGCCTGTCAGTCTAGTCAGGAGGTGGACCCATCAGAAGCCAAGAAAGCTTGGTAAGTTGGTTGGTTATTTCGAAAAAGCTCCTGATTGTAAGTCAAGGAACAAAAAGGAGCTCTCTTGCTCGGTGACCTATACTAATTTCATTTGTTTGCAACCTCTCTCTCTCTCTCTCTCTTTCTCCTCTCTCCTGCCCCCCCCCACACACGTGCGCGCACACACACACACACACACTCACACACAAACATGACCACGCAGGTCTGACAACCAGGCCATGGCAGACTGTGTGGACTCCAAAGGACTAAGCTTTCACTTAAAACAGAAACTCTCGACACTGGCCTTTGTTTTGGACTTTTCCATGGTGGGATGGAGGGAGAGGGACACTGGAAATCCAGAGGCAGCTTTCTGGAATGAATTTTGTCACATCACAATCCCCCGTGCATGGGTCCCTGGAATGTTTTCCTCATGATCCCGTGGAAAAGGACCCCATTTCCACCAGCAACGATCTGATTTAGCTCCACAAAAAGTGAGACGAGATCCCCTGGCATAGACTGCTGTTGAGAACCTGACTGTATAAATAAAAATAGATCTGGCCCGTGCCTTTCTTTGCCAACAGAGAACTGCAATTAAAACATTAGGAAAGTACTGTTTTCCTTAACGAATTAACAGCAATTCTACTTCTGTACAAAGCCATGCTTTCTATCGAGAGCTAAAATTTCACTTTTGCTGCCATTCACTTTAGTTAAAAAGGAATCCAGTTAAAGTTCATTTTAAATGTGTTTTTGTTGATTTCAGAGAGGAAGGAAGAGGGAGAGAGAGAAACATCAATGATGAGAGTCATTGATTGGCTGCCTCCTGCATGCTCCCCATTGGGGACGGAGCCCACAACCCAGGCATGTACCCTGACTAAAAATCAAACCCAGGACCTTCAGTCTACAGGCCGACACTCTATCCACAGAGCTAAACCAACTAGGTTCATTTTAATAAACATTTACATTCAAAAGTTTTTCATATAATTAAGTAGGGCAGGAAGCAAGAGCAAATAAAATATTGGTTAGGAAGACATAAATGCAAGAATTTGGATTTTGAATTAGAAAACTAATAATGAAATGAAGTATAGAGGTCCAGAGTAGAATCTTTTTAGTAGCATTATTTAGCAATTCGTTTGAAAAAAGAAAGAAAGAAAGAAAGAAAGAAACTATAAGTGGTAGAAGCAAAATAAGAAATAAGCAAAATAAGAAATCATAAAGTATGTTAAAGGATTCAATTTTACAATAAAAAAGGAAATTCATTGAGATGGTCTAGTTATAGATATTAAAATCTCAAATTTAAATGTTCTCAAAGAAAGAGAAATAGGTAACAAAGTAAGGGTAGGAAAATAAAAGTCAACTTGAGAAGAAACTGAGTTTTAGAGAAAGAGCTAGAGAAAACAATAATATTTCCAAGTTCTTAATCTATTATAGTGATACCATTGTTATTAGCTAATTATTAATAATAAATCTAGTCAAGAAGATAGAAGATACCAAAAACTATAAAACACTGCTGGAAAAAAAGTAAAGACATTAATGGAAAGACATCACATGTTCACAATAGAAGTTAAAATGCCAGCACTACCCAAAGAAATCTACAGATCCAAACACAATACCTATCAAAAATCCAGCAGCCATTTTTTCCCCCAGAAATGGAAAAAAGCATGTTCTCACATTCATATGGAATTGTAAGAACCCTGACTAACCAAAATAATTTTGAAAAAGAAGGACACAGTTGGAGGACTCACACTTCCCAACTCTGAACCTTACTACAAAGCTACAGTAATTAAAAGAGTGTGGTCCTGGCATAAACAGAGACCTGTAGATCAATGGAATTGAATAGAAAGCCAAGAAATAAACCTTCACATATTAATTAATGGTTAATTAATTATTGACAAGAGTACCAAGACCACTCAGTGGGGAAAGGACAGTCTTTTCAACAAATGGTATAGGAAGAACTGGATAGCTTACTACAAAAGAATGAAGTCAGACCCTCGTCTTACACCATCTACCAAAACTGACTCATAAAGAATCAAAGACCTAAACTTAAGCGCTAAAACTATAAACTCTTAGAAGACAACACTGGGGAAAATGCCCATGACATTGGATTTGGCAACATTTCATGAATATAATACCAAAAGGAGAACAAAAGAAATAAAAACATAAATTGAACTTTATCAAAAGAAAAAAAAAAAACCTTTTGTGTATCAAAAAACACCCTCAGGGAAATGAAATAACAATCTAAAGAATGACATAAAACATTTTCAAATCCTTTACCTGACAAGTGATTATTACCTAGAGTATTTAAAGAAGTCCTACAATTCAACAACAAATAACCCAATTCAAAAATGGGCAAAGGACTTGATTAGACATTTATCCAAAGAAGTCTTACAAATGGTACTCAATACATTAGTCATTAGGGAAATGCAAATTAAAACCACAATGAGATACCTCTTCACACCCACTACTATAGCTATAATAAAAAAATTAAAAAGGGGAAAGTAACATGTACTACTGAGGACATAGAGAAACTGGAATATTTGCATATTGCTGGTAGGAATGCAAAATGGCCAGTGTGGAAAATGGTTTGGTGGTTTCTCAAAAGTTAAACACAGAACTAACAGGTGACCCAGCAATTTCTCTCACAGGTACTTTTCTAAAAGAATGGAAAGCAGGGAATGGACTGGGTATCTGCACACCAATGTTCATAGCAGCATTACTCACAAGAGCAGCCCAGATGTCCATCAACAGGTAAATGGATAAACAAAATGTGGCATATAAAATAGAATGCAATTCAGCCATAAAAAGGGATAAAATGTTGACATATGCTACAACACGGATGGACCTTGAAAATGTTATGCTTGATAGTCCAGACACAAAGTCAAATACAATTCCCCTTATATGAAGTAACTAGAATAGGCAAATTCATAGGAGGAAAGCAAACTAGAGGTTACTCGGGGCTAGAAGAAGAAGGGGAATTATTGCTTAACAGGTACAGAGTTTATATTGAAGATGAGGAAATAGTTTTAAGTAGAGATAAGGTATGGGTACACATAGTAGGGTGAATAAAAGGTAGGGCAAAAGTAGGTTTACAGTTTGAGTGTGTGAAACACAATATTTTGTTTTTCTTATATTATTATTTATTATTAGAGGCCCGATGCATGAAAATTCATGCAAGAATGGGCCTTCTTTCCTCTGGCTGCCAGCACCAGCTTTGCTTCAGCCTGGACCTGCCTTTCTGCCTTCCCACACTGCCCAGAGGCTCAGAGCAGCTGGGGCAATGCAGAATGCCTGCATCGTGCAAATTAACCTACCATCTTTGTTGGGTCAATTTGCATACTCACTCCTGATTGGCTGGTGGGTGGCGCAAATATACGGTCAATTTGCATCTTACTCTTTTATTAGTGTAGATTGTATTATTTTCCATATGAACAACTGTAGACCTACTTTTGCCCCACTCTGTATATTTAATGGTTAAAAGGAGAAGTATATTTTTAAGCACATTTTTACAAAGTATGTTTTAAAAACAAAGTCTCCAAAATACCAAGTGAGAACACAGCTGCACCAGAGGGGGATGGGGAAGTAGGCAGAAGCACCTGGGGATAAAGGATGGCTTGTTTCAGTTAACAGCAATGGAAAACGATGATTCCATAAGAGCAAGCGTGAACACGGGCTGCATTAGTAGAAATACGGTTCTCAAAACAAGGGAGGTGACCATCACATTGGCCAGACCACCGCTGGAGATGCGAGCTCTGTTTGGGCCTCACCCCGGAGAGGACAGTGGCATCCTGGCTTATATTTGGGGAAGACTGACTAGCATGGTGAAGGATACGGAAACCCAACATCTAGGGATCAGCAGAGAGAGAGAATAGAATAAAGAATGTCTTTTCCATTTAGCAGGACCTCATAGTTACCCAAAGAACCAATCCTGACAAAAAGAGGAGGGGAAAGAACTTGAGGAAAGCAGGTTTTTTGCTCAGCTTAAGGAAGAACTTTCATTTCTCCTTTTTCTTTTCTACTGTTTTTTTCAAACTGTCCCCCAAACCCAGCATCTACCATGCCTCCTCACAGCAGCTACAGGCATTTTTAGTTAGAATATAATATACTTATCTAGTTCAAAACCGAACCAACCAATTAATAAGCAACCAATCAACCAACAAAACAAAGAGGAAGAAGAAAAGAAACAAGTGATTTTCTCTAAGCCATACCCTAGTAAAAGGCTAAGCCAACATTCAGTTTTATTTTTTCAATCTCCATGACAACGGAAGACAAGGAGTGTATCAGTTGCTCAGCATTAAAACAAAATCTAATTGTTTTGGTGCCCCAGGCTGTCTCCAGAAGCTCATCTTCCAGGATCAATCAAAAAGAAGAGTAATCTCCTTTGTCTTCAATTTGTGATGAAACCTCTGTTACCATCAGATACACTCTAGCTTCTGCCTATAGCTCAGGATGGTGAGGCAAGAATGCCTGACACACGGACCGTACACTCACCAAGACTGAGCAAGCAGCTCTGGAGTCGAATCACCAAGTCCTGTCCCGGCTCCACTACTGACTGTGACGTTGGGCAGGTAACTGAATCTCAGTGATCCAGCTTCCTACTCGGTGAGCTATGAATACAGTACTTACCTCATAAAATGGCCAACTCAAACAGGCAAAGCACTTAGAATGGATCTCGGCACAGGGTCAAAAGGTTTCTCTCTCTTTCTCCTCCTTGCTGCTTCCTCCTCTTTCCTTTCCTTCTTCCACAACATCAGCATTACCTATTAGCACCGAGACTCTGCCAATTACCTGTGACACCGTCATCTGCATGTTGCTTTGCCCACCGCACAGCCAGACATCTCCAAATAAGACACCATGAACTGCCACGGTCAAGTTCGTTTTTCCCAAAGTCAGCTGTGCCATCACTTCATAAGGTCCACCAGGCTTCATGGGATCCAGGACCACCATCCATTTATTGGAGCGTGCTGAAATAATAGGAATTAATTAATTAAAATTAAATTAAGGCCCAATCCTGTCACGCATCATACTCATTGGTGGCCATTCCCAGCTTCGGTGATCGACTGAATTCGAAGCTATGGAAATTGGCCACATTGCAGACAAGCAAAGAGAAATGACAGCAGCGGCATTTCTATCCTTAATCTGTGCCAATCCCTTCTGACTTTTAACTGAAACGTTTACAAGAGGGGAAAAAAATTAGCTAGCTGTAATCCTAAATGAGGACAGACAAAAACACAAAAGAAATTAAAATTCAAGGGAGTTTAATAAAAGCAAAATAGAAATTCTTATTGGACTATCCAGCTGTCGATATTTTTTACCACAATCTAATACATTTTCCACAATCTAATACATTTTCACAGTGCCCCAATTAGAGAAAACCATTTGTAATCTGAAACTTCCCCCTGCCTGATAGTATCATCTTTATTATCAATACCCCCACCTCCTCCCCACATTGCTACCAAGGATTAATACTAGCAGTAGTTCTGGGTTCTCCTGTCAACAGCTAAACAGGTGAGTGGAGAAAGTGTCACATGTAGAAGGATTGAAAAGCATATAAAGTAGTCTCTGTGGCCCAGCCAGGGTGGCTCAATGATTGAGCATCAACCCATGAGCCAAGAGGTCACTGGTTTGATTCCTGGTCGCAGCACATGCCCGGGTTGTAAGCTTGATCCCCAGCGGGGGTCGTGCAGGAGTCAGCCGATCCATGTTCCTCTCTCCTCAATGTTTCTAGCTCTCTACCTCTCTCCCTTCCCCTTTCTCTAAAATCAATAAAACACTTTTTTTTTTCAAAATTGGACTCTCTATGAAGAAGACATTTAGACTTGCCCAATTAATTACTTTCAGAGTTATCTACCAGACTGAAGGTTCTCAGGCTCAATTAAAGCGATGAAAAGTTACCCAAAACCCTATTTCAGAAATTCCTAGCATATTCCTTAGGAACCACCTCCCTGCCACCTTCCTACCTCTCACCCACTCACGCCACCACCTCTGCAAACATCATGCTCAGAAACTTAAAAAAATATATCTTCAAAGTGGCAAAATTATGCCTAGGAGAACCAAACCACATGAACTAAGTTGAAAAAAATGAGAGTGAGAAAATAGAGGAGCAATCTTTTAAAAATAAACCTTCTTGGCATAATGCAGAAGAATAGGAACTGATTTATAATTTAATGTAATTTCAACGGGAAAGAATGGTTAAGAACTGGAAATGACGCACCCCGACGTTATTATACCAGTCTGTAAAAAAAAAAAATATATTATTATTATAAAAATACTACCCAAGCCGACACTGGTTTGGCTCAGTGGTAGAGCATCGGTCTGCGGACTGAAGGGTCCCAGGTTCGATTCCGGTCAGGGGCATGTACCTTGGTTGCGGGCACATCCCCGGTGGGGGGGGTGCAGGAGGCAGCTAGTCGATGTTTCTCTCATGGACGTTTCTAGCTCTCTATCTCTCTCCCTTCCTCTCTGTAAAAAAACCAATAAAATATATATTTTAAAAAAAAAATACTACCCAAGGGACTACTAGGAGCCAGACAGGGTGCTGAGTTCTTTCTAATCAGCAAGAGCTAAGCAGAAGCAGAAGTCCAGATGCAGGACAGGAGATGTGTAAAAGCTCAAGCTATCAGAGACCGCTCATTATTGGGGGGAATGTCCAAGACCCCCCTCCCCCCGAAGGCACCAGAGAAGGGGTGCATGTTGGCTGCTCCAGGAAGCACAGCTGACTCATTGGCGACCAAATGCCCGCGACTGTTTTTATAGCACTGAGAGCCAGACAGCAACATAGCATACGTCTAACTCACCCAAAGCAGGAAAAGCACTGCTCTGGAAGCAGTGGGCAGCGGGCACAGACTGTGTCACCCAGGTGCGGGCGCTCCGTGTGGCTCACACTTCCAAGCAGGCAGACACGCCAATCTGTCCCAACGGCAGCCTTGCCAAGGTCTTTCCAGGCTCCCTGCACCGGCACAGCTCCCTGGAAGCTCTGTCCTGCCTTCGCCAGCTTTACTGGTTTATAAGGATAAAGTCAATCCCCAGGAAAAGAGGACAGGACTGTCATTTACCCTTCTATGACTACACAATCCATTCCTCGCCACGGCTGTTAACTGGATATTCACTCCACCTCAATGCAGGCAACATGGCTGGTGAAGAGGACAAACCTTCACCAGAGTTTCTCAAAGTTTTGCTGCCCGGCGATAGGAAGATTCATGAGGGAAGGGGGCAAAACATCATGACAATACCATTCCACTACAGCCAAGAGGAACAGCTCCCCCTGCAGGAGGGAGGAGAACTACAATGGAGGCCTGAGCCTGATTCCTAAGCACTGGTCTGAGGAAATCTCTCAGCGGATTTTGGAACTTCCTTCTGTTCTAGCCCTCAAGTTCTTTTAGTTTCTAGCTCCTACCCTCTCCCATCAACAGAAAAATAAAACTCTGACACAGTAAGGAGTGTGAAGTTAACTGCCAGGCATGGCAGGGGGAATCGGATCTACTACAGAGAGGTGACTAATGGTCGAAGTAACTCGGAAACAAGCCATTGAAAACAACGAGGACTGCCCAGCAGGCTCAGTGGTGAGCAGTGACCTATGAACCAGGAGGTCATGGTTCAATTCTCGGTCAGGGCGCATGCTCGGGTTGCAGGCTCGATCCTTGGTGTGGGGTGTGCAGGAGGCAGCTGATCAATGATTCTTTTATCATTGATGTTTCTAGTTCTCTCTCTCTCTCTTCCTTCCTCTCTGAAATAAATAAAAATGTATTTAAAAAAATAAAACAATGAGGATTTACTCCAATGTAAGTATATTCACAGAAGAGCAGCCACTGTGCAGACTCTTTCTTAGATCAAAAGCAAGTGGGATTATCAAGGCAGAAGCCACTTTGTTTCCCAGGAGAAGTGATGAGTCCTTGGCCCCTTAGGCTGGGCCTAGTTCAAGTGCAGCTCGTCACAGGATGATGAAATTCAGCTGTACTTTTAATTTTATTTTTTAAACATATTTTATTGATTTTTTACAGAGAGAAAGAGAGAGGGACTGAGAGTTAGAAACATTGATGAGAGAGAATCATCTATCAGCTGCCTCTTGCACACCCCCCACCAGGGATGTGCCCGCAACCAAGGTACATGCCCTTGACCGGAATCGAACCTGGGACTTTTCAGTCCGCAGGCTGACGCTCTATCCACTGAGCCAAACCGGTTTCGGCTCCAGCTTTAGTTTTTAGAAACTGTGTGCATCCACTTGAGTCACCCACCACAAAGAGTTCTCAAGTTTGCTGTCCATGTGACATTGGAATGTTCAAGTATGTGGCTCATTCTCAGAACCAATGGAAATCCTGCATCATCTGTTTCTCTTTTGCCGACCTGCCGATGCTCTCCTGGGTGACACCTGAGCCCAAGGTGAGGCCTGGAGGCCTGCCTGGTTCGTGAGAAGCTGTAGGTCCCCACCCCTACACACACACACACACACACACACACACACACACACACACACACACCCCGCTGTGATACCAACAAGAAAGCCTTGCAAACTGACTGGGGCTTTGTGTCCCCATGTCTGACAGCATATCTGGTGGCCTATTTACTGCTCTGTTTCCTCTCCACATTCCAGTAAAAGACACAGGTGAAGAACACTCTCTCTCCATTTCCTCTACATCTCCCCAACCATCCCCCATCGAATCATGGGAAGAATAAACAATCAAAGGGGGGGAAAAACTAAAACAATTTGTCTTAGAGACATGCTTAGCCATGACGTGCTTTCTTTTTTCCCCTTCTTGCTAGTCACGTCAGATGTTAATTATTTTTCAGGCGGTGGTGCCAAATCTCAGAAGTCAAGAACAGAAAAAGGAAAAGGACCCACAACCTTTCCCTTCCCACAGGAGACACCTAGAGCTGGAAGAAACCACCCCGTTCACGTCCCACACAGGATTCTGGCATTTCACCAGCTGCCAAGTCACTTTCAAGATTGTGGAAGTGACTTGAAGATAGAGGAAGCTCTATAGGCCCCTTTCCTACCTGCATTTAGTCTGTGTCAAGTCCTCCTCCTCCTCCACCAAATATAAATGTTAAAAACAAAACAACACACAGGCCGAAACTGGTTTGGCGCAGTGGATAGAGCGTCGACCTGTGGACTGAAGGGTCCCAGGTTCGATTCTGGTCAAAGGCATGTACTTTGGTTGCGAGCACGTCCCCAGTAGGGGGTGTGCAAGAGGCAGCTGATCGATGATTCTCTCTCATTGCTGTTTTTAACTCTCTATCCCTCTCTCTTCCTCTCTGTAAAAACTCAATAAAATATATTTTTTAAAAACAACAAACAAACAAAAACACAACACACAAAAAAACTTAAGTACTGCTTCAGTACGTGTTTGTCAATAAGACTGTTTATGCAAGTTACTTAAACTGTAGCATGCTGTGGCAGACACCCCCTACGATGACCCCCAATAAGGCACATCCTTGTATAATCCTCTCCCCACTAAGTGCAGGCAGAACGTGTGATTTGCTTCCAACCAACAGAAAATGGCAAAGTGGATGAGATGTCATCCTCATGCTAAGGTTACATGACGTGGAAAGCATAAAAGGGTTTTTATAGGTGTGATTAAAGTCCCTAATCAGTTGACCTTAATAAAAAGGGTAATTATCCTGGGTGGACCTGACCTAATAAGGTGATCCCTTGAAGAGTCTCTAGAGCCCGTGTAGTATGGTTCAGTGGTTAGAGCATCGGCCCATGAGCCAAAGGGTCACAGGTTCTAATCCCAGTCAAGGGCATGTACCTGGATTGCAGGTTCAAGCCCCGGCCCTCAATGGGGCCCAGTAGGAAGCAACCAATTGATATGTCTCTCTCACATCAATGTTTCTCCCCCACCCCCTCAACCTCTGGATGAGAACACAGCCCACTGATGCCTGGGTCCCAGCTTGTGAGACCCTGAGAAGAGCACCCCGCTAAATAACAGCCAGGCCTCAGGTCTACAGAAATTGTGAGAGAGCAAAGGTATGTTGTTTCAAGTATCTAAGTCTGTGATAATTTATTATGTAGCATAGAAAACGAGTGTTTCTTTTCTAAGTTAGAGACAATATATCTGTTTGCAGACACATCCTCATTTTATCATCCACATATGCATCCCCATGTGTCAGAGTGAGAGGATAGATGTTAATATCCCCTATTTTATTCCTGTGTCTGAATTACTATGCATCATTTGACAATTTGAATAGGCCCGGTACCTGACTATATTCCCAACTGTCCATCAGGTTTTAATTTTCCCAATGCTGTCGTGTCAGTCTGCCAGACAAAAACCTTTATGTGATTAAATTCCACTTTGCTGTGGGCACCTAGGGAATACAGGTAATAAGTTGTATGCTAACAGAGACAGACAGTGGCAAACTGAGGTAGTCTGGCTGAAAAACTCAAATATCACTGATATTTAAATAGACGTCAAGCCTTAAACCCTACAGCATCTCCTTTTGAGAAACAGCTTCTTTCTGCCCTGTGGAATTTCCTACATATCTACCTTCTTTATTCCAAATAACATTGTATTCATTTTACCTCACAGGGCAGGACAAAGCAAGATGCTGTTGAAACAGGCTTGTGGATCTACACAAACTAAAACTGCCTTCGCTCTCTACCAAGCAGATGTGGAAAGCCTCACAAACAGATCCCCGCCCACCATCTTCCTCTCTTTTAGACAGAGGCTCCTTGGTGAGGCTGCTCATTCTCAACGTCTTGAACATCCTCACAGCAGCGATCTTGGGTCAAACCTTCCTTGTCTAGTCTCTGAACATCACGAAAGCCGGCTAACAGGTCCCACCGCTTCTAGTCTGCTCGACCTCCAGTCAATCTCCCACAGTGCTGCCAGAGTCATCTTTCTTTTAAATATATATTTTATTGATTTTTTTTTTTTTTTTTTACAGAGAGGAAGGGAGAGGAATAGAGAGTTAGAAACATCGATGAGAGAGAATCATTAATCAGCTGCCTCTTGTACACCCCCTACTGGGGATGTGCCCGCAACCAAGGTACATGCCCTTGACCGGAATCGAACCCGGGACCTTTCAGTCCGCAGACCGACCCTCTACCACTGAGCCAAACTGGTTTCGGCAAGAGTCATCTTTCTAATATACGAATCTGATCGTGTTATTTCAGGCTTAAAAACCCACCTGTCCAATACTCCTTAACAATGACAAACAAGTTTCCTTATATATCCTAACGTGTTTCCTGTCAACCAACACCAGTCACGTGCCCCGGTGTTCCAGGCAAACCTATCTATTGGCCATTTCTCCAATGACCCACGCTCACGAGCGCCTCCATGCCTTTGCCAGGAGAGTCCTTCTGCCTGGTTTGCCCTACTTACCTTTCAAGATAAACCCTAGACTAAGTTAAGTACCCCTACTCAGCACTCCCACAGCACCCGGGACTTCCCCACGGCGGCACTTCCCAATAATTGCTATTATTTTTCTGTCTCCTTGCCTAACCTATTAGCTTCATCAGGGGAGAGACCACATCTGTTTCGCTCATCACTATATCACCAGGACCTAACACAATATCTGCCACACAGTAGTCCCTCAGTCAATATTGGAGTGGTTGACTTAAATAACAATAATAACTATAACAGCTATAACCAGTTTGGCTCAGTCGATAAAGGGTTGGCCTGAGACTGAAAGGTCCCAGGTTCGATTCTGGTCAAGGGCATGTACCTTGGTTGCGGACACATCCCCAGTAGGGGGTGTGCAGGAGGCAGCTGATTCTCATCGATGTTTCTAACTCTCTGTCCCTCTCCCCTCCTCTCTGTAAAAAAAAAATCAATAAAATATATTTTTAAAAATAATAATAATTATTATTATTATAACAACAGCTAACATGTATTCAGCACTTACTGTGTGCCAGGCACTGCTCTAAGCACGTCACATGTGTGAATTCATTTAAAATCCACATGGTCTCAAATACTATTACCTCACTTTACAAATAAATACATTGTGACACAGAGATATTCAATAGTATGCCCAAGGTGATACAGCCATGAAGAGACAGAGCCAGGACCTGAGTCCAGAGAGTGAATTTCAGAGCCTGGGTTCCAACCACTCCTCCATACTGCCTCTCCTTTATATGCGATTCTGTTCAAAGGCCACCTTCTGTGTAAACCTTCCCTCACTGTCCACTCTGAGGTAGACATTTCTCTTCTGTATCCCATGGCACCCATGTATGCCTTCATCACAGCGGTTACCGCACCACACCGTGTAACTCAGCGTCTGTTCTCACTATTCCATGGGCTCCTTGAGAACAGGCCCTTTTAATTAGTCTTAATTTGTATGCTCAGTGCCTAGCACACGGTAAATACGCAAATGGCCTTTATGGATGGGTGGGTGAATGGGTGGATGGGTGGATGGATGGATGGGTGGATGGATGGATGGGTGGATGGGTGGGTGGGTGGATGGGTGGATGGATGGGAGAATAACGAGATGGAGAGTAAGCGTTCATTTTCAGATAATCCAGCAGGTGGCAGAAGAAGACAAAAGCTACACAGAGAATGGGGGCTGCCGTACCTTGCACTTGAGTCACTTTCTTCATGATGGTTTCTTCCTCTCGACAAAGAGTCACTGTCACTGTGGCTTCAGACAGGCCAAAGCCCCAAATCACGGCCCCTGCAGGCTCTTTCTGCAGCACCATGTAGTCACCCACGTATGACGCAAACCGAAAGTCAGCTCCTAGAAAATTCAGCAAACGGGAAGACTCATCGCGGCTGGAGTCTGGTTAAAGAGCAAGGAACTTACGGTCTTTATACAAGGGAATTCGAATAGACCCAGTCCTTTCAATCTCCCCAAACCAGATCTTATTCCTCCTAATGAGGAAAGCAGCATAACAAGAACAGTTCCAACAAGATATGTCCCAAGACCAATAAGGAAAACTCCAAGAGCCTGGGGCCGTGGTCGGCAAACTGGGGCTCTCGAGCCACATGCGGCTCTTTGGCCCCTTGAGTGTGGCTCTTCCACAGAATACCACGGCTTGGGCGAGTTTATTTTGAACAAGTGGCGTTAGAAGAAGTTTAAGGTTAAAGAATTTGGCTCTCCAAAGAAATGTCAATCGTTGTGCTGTTGATATTTGGCTCTGTGGACTCATGAGTTTGCCGACCACTGGCCTAAGGCAACTCATGTTCTACGGGCATCATCCTCTTCAGAACTTTGGCCCGCCTCAGCTCTCAGGCCTGGCCCTCCTGCTCGACTCTCTCCTCCTAAATCATTAAGATGCTCCTTTCATGCACCTACAGATGGTGTTTATGAGAAGAAGAAACCTCTTCCTTCCTCTACTTTCCACCCCCATTCCCACTCCCGAGGAGCGGGGAATTAAGCAGCCTGCGCCTCTCCAACACAGCGCTCTCTCATCTCTCCCCCTTCCCACCCCACCAGTGTGAATTTCCCTCAATAATCCCCCTTAGGATGGCTTTCTGACAACCCCCTGCAAATGCTAAAGAAGCATTTATGAATATCTGCGACAAACCTGCTCCCTTCGAAGGTAAATTCAGATAAACGAAGACGCCAAAAATTAATAAAAATAATAAAGTCGGTGAGAGTGAGAAGGTCTCGGTGTCCTTACCAAGGTCTTTTGTCACCATTGTACCCATCCCACCGGCTAACATATGCACAAGGAATGAGAGAAAGAGCACTCAGAACTGTGGCTTCTATTCTAGAGCCACTAACAAGACGGAACCAGAACTCACTTTAACAAGATCGTTCCTATTTTTAACACTCAGCCTATAAAGAAGTATTTCATTAGTAACAAGCATCGATCCAACATTATCTCAGCGCGCTCCTCATCAAAACTTAAGAGAGGGGGGAAAAAACCAAAATCTGACACCTTTGTCTCAATAAAAGACCCCCAAAAATCCCTAGAAGAAAATAATTAACACTATTAAAAAAATTTTTAAGATTTTCAACAAAAATGATAGGCAGGAGAGAGAATCAGGCCTAACAAGGTTGACATTTCCCTCCCGAGAAGCTACATACGATGACGGCCCCTCAGGCAATACTTAAAGGAGCAGCACACTAATGGGGCCTCCTCCACGGGCTCGGTGGCCTATTTGTCCTGCACTCAGAATAAGAACCCGTCCCTAAACACCGTCGGCTCACTCTGATGAGTCCGTTCCACCACAAAGCCTACGTGACAATCCCAAGTTCCTGCAGGAGGCCGCTGGGCTGGAGCTGCGTGGCTGGCTGTCTGGAGCCAAGTGCTCTGAGACTCCCGCACTGAGGGGGGTTGATTGCATAAGCACATGGCAGCCCGCGGGAGGGAAGGGGGGAGGCATGTGTGTGGGAGGGTCTTGTCTTGGGTAGGTGCCTCTTATGGAACAAAACTGAAAAGCGAAAGGTCTAAAAGCTAAGCAGAGAGGGGGTGGAGGGGACGGGATGGAGGGAGGAAATCTGGCTGCCGCTGGCATAGGAGCCGGTGCAAACGGAGGGCCCTCCCTGAGGCTGAAGGATACACCTTTGCAAACCAGACTGTCTTCTCCGACACGCACGTAAGGAACCTCTTCGTGCGTGACTTTAGTCTGAGTTAAAGAATAGAGGAAGCCCAGCTGGCATGGCTCAGTGGTTGAGCATTGACCTATGAACCAGAAGGTCACAGTTCCATTCCCAGTCAGGGCACATGCCCGGATAGTGGTTTCGATCTCCAGGGGGTTGGGGGTGGGGGGCGTGTAGATGATTCTCTCTCATTATTGATATTTCTCTCTCTCCCTTCCTCTCTGAAATCAATAAAAGTAAAAAGAATTTTAGAGGTAGAACGATCTTTCATACCCAGAGTTTATAATCATGGTATTCACTGACCAACAGACTGAGACCCAAGTAGATTAGGTAATTTAAAAATAGAGCTTGCAGCCCAAACCGGTTTGGCTCAGTGGATAGAGTTTCACCCTGCAGACTGAAGGGTCCTGGGTTCGATTCCGGTCAAGGGCATGTACCTTGGTTGCGGGCACATCACCAGTAAGGGGGTGTGCAAGAGGCAGCTGATCAATGATTCTCTCTCATCGATGTTTCTAACTCTCTATCCCTCTCTCTTCCTCTCTGTAAAAAAATCAATAAAATATATTTTAAAAATATATATAGCTTGCATATTAATCCTTGAACTCAACAAATATGGATCGATGCCTGCTATGTGCTAGGCACCATTTAAGCATGGAGAATATCGGAGTGGGGCGGGGGAGGAGGGGGAGAGAACAAAATCCTTTCGGGAGGGAGGTTACTCTATGAATTCACTTGCTGGTGGCAGGCGCTGTGCTGAACACACTGCAGACATTCAGTTTCTTTGGTCACAAATGGCACAGGGAGTTTATGACAGGACTAGAGACCCCGCCGCTGATTCCAATGTTACTGCCGCTTCCACTCAGCCACAGCTCGAAGCTGGTGGTAATCCAAGGTCACGCTCCCTGTCCTTCTAAAGCTTACATTCCAAACTGAGCAGCCAGTGGAACACGTCAGAGGGATGGAGCAATGGACAGAACAGCAGGCTAAGGAAGGAAGCAGCACCGGTAAATGTTGGTCAAACAAGACACTTATAGGCCTAATATTTAAAAAAAAAAAAAAAAAAAAATTTTTTTTTTTAGGTTTTTCAATTTTTCCTTCATTTGGATATTAGATTAAAAAACAAACAAACAAACAAAAAAACAAAAACAAAAAAAACAGGAGCCAAAGCCGGTTTGGCTCAGTGGTAGAGCGTCGGTCTGTGGACTGAAAGGTCCCGGGTTCGATTCAGGTCAAGGGCATGTACATTGGTTGTGGGCACATCCCCAGTAGGGGATGTGCAAGAGGCAGCTGATCGATGTCTCTCTCTCATCGATGTTTCTAACTCTCTATCCCTCTCCCTTTCTCTCTGTAAAAAATCAATAAAATATATTAAAAACAAAAACAAAACAGGAATCAGTGTTCTGAAGAAGAGACCATCATTAAAAGTACCCTGAGCCCTGGCCAGTTTTCCTCAGTAGTTAGAGCATCCGCCCACGGATTGAAGGGTCTCGGGTTCGATTCCCAGAGCCACTCCATTTGACTTTCTCACGTAGATTTTTCCTTTTCTCTCTCTCCCCCCTTCCTCTATTCCTTCCTTCCACTCGGTCTGAAAATCAATGGGAAAAATTTCCTCGGGTGAGGATTTAGAAAAAAAAGAAAAAAAAAAAGTAGACTGGAGAAATTAGGACAGTGAGGAACTGGCAGCATTCTAGCTCTTAAGCTGGGCTGAGCACCTAGGGGTGTTCATTTTATTGTTTACTGGCCACATAGATTCTTGTACCTCTCAAATAAACCGTGATCAATATGAACACAGGGAAATGGTTTGAAAGAAAGTTCAGGAAGTGCAACCAAATGAAGAAGGAAAAGTTAAGAGTATCAATCAACGAAAAAGAGTCCTCGGTAATGAAGGTGAGGTAATGATAGAGCCTAAAGGCAGAGATAAAATACAGATATCCACGATAACAGAGAAATCGGATAGAATAACGCCCCCACTCTCTTTTTCACCTTCTTTCCACATCACGTGCCAGATGCAGAGGTCACTGTGTGAGGCTGAGAGAGATAAAGGATAGTTTACACCTCGGTTAAACCCAGGAAAAAAGCACCCAGGGGCTGCAGCTTGTCCGAAACGGGCCCTTATACGGTTCTTGGGTAGAGCACCGGTCATTTTCCTGCACGCTAACCATTCCCCCACCTCAACTTCCATTTCTTGACAGCGAACTCTGTGGCCCACTATGTAAGTGTTTGAAGGGGAGAAAAAAATAGGTCCAGCATTATCGCTTTCACTTCGCACTTAGCAGATAAGATCTGGGTTTTCCCCCAGTTGTGACCCAGGTTCTCCTCCAGCCTTGTGTAGATCAATGTCAGGGTCTGACTTGGACCATAGTCAGGGAGTCGCCCTCCTCCCCCAATGCCCCACACATAGCACCCCCACCCCCCACCAGTATATCTGTAAGCTGCACCAGAAACCAAAGCTGAGCCTTCAATATCCTGAGCCAGGGAGGGAGTGGTACCTCACAGCCCTATGGCCACTTCAACTAGCAAAATGTAAATTCCTCGCCTAACGCAAACCCTCCCTGGGGTTCCACTGAGAGGGCAGTGCTGAGAGGGTTTGCATGACTCTGGGCACCTGTTTCCAAATATATGACTTGCTTCCTGCACCCCAACCCCCCAATCCAAGCTCCCCAGCCGTTATTCAAAGACCCCGAGGGCCACCCCACTCAGATAAACCCAACTCTCCATCTGCCCCACGCGCTGGACGGGATGGAGGAAGCGGAAGGGCAGAAGCCATATGGCCCAGCGGAACTAGCGGTCCAGGCCTGGCTTGCAGACCCCTTCCCGGCCCTTGGGTGGGGGTGCGGGTGGGGAGTCCTGCCTGCGAGCACGCGGGAGGCCGGAGCCCGCGTACGCTGACCGGCGGGGTCGGGTCCTGCCAGGCCGCCTCACCTGCACGCACGTGGGCCCGCAGGGCAAATAGCAGGAGCAGCCCCAGGGCCACCCCCAGCGCCACCATGCTGGCCAAGTTCCGTCTCCCCGCGCGGACCACGTAGCCCGAATCCAGGCGGGGGCGGGGTCTGTGACGGGCGGGGCCCCGAGTGGGCGTGGTTGCGGGCGTGGTCATCCGGCCCCACCCACTTCCGGTCCGCACCGTCCGCGAAGCAGTCTACGGCCGCCAGAGAGGACGCATCTCGTCCCTTCTCGGCTGCCGTAGTGGAGTTGAAAAAAAAAAAGAAGAAAAAAAAAAACGGTTCCTCAGCAACGAGAACAAACAACTGGAACCACCGGCACCAGCTCTGGGAGAGGCAAGAGGTGAGGCGGTTTACCCCTCTTCCTCTCCAAAACCGAGGCCTCGCCCTTTCCCTTCGCCTCTCGTGTTCTCTCCGGATCCCCGTCACATCCCGGGGAGCCCCGGGGGGCCGATGGGGGGCCGGCGGCCGTTGTGAAGTCCCGGGGCCTCGTCGTGCGGCCCCCGCCCGCCGCCCCTCACATCGGCTCAGGGCCACTCCGATCGGGTCAGGGCCTCGCCAGGCCGTGTCACAACCTCAGAGGATCCCACACCTCATCTCCTGGCCCTTCGGAAAAGGGGGTTCAAGAAACCTCCGCCGATCGGGCCTCGTGAAACCGGCTAGTCCCCCCGCCCGGAGGCCCCGGCCCCGGCCTCACTCGGCGGCGGTAACCGTCACAACAGGCCGGGCCCAGTGGGGTTTGCAGACTCCCGTCGCCCAGGCCGGGAAGACAAAACCTCTCCCGTGTCCTTCGTCCAGCCCTTGGGTTCCTAGACGGGAAGACAAGACCTGGACCAGAGAAAAACCAGAAAATATAAGAATCCCAGACCTTGGGAGGCTGGGATTGCAACATCCTGACCGCCCGCTCCGTCCAGGGAAAGACTTAAGTGTGAAACGTACTCATTTCACAAATCAGAATAATTTCTAGAACCAGGGCCAGATCTGACTTTTAAAACAGTTTTGTTTTTAGACCTCACACAGGGTCTTTTTCGGCAATTTATGGTGACGTTTTAGCAACCTTTCTCTCTAAATTTCTGTGAGATGGCAAAACTTAACCTCACCTTTTAAAGAGAAAGAAAAAATACTAAGGATGATAGTGAAAATCTGTGATTTTTTTTGTAATGAAAAGAATGACCTATTAAATCTGTATTTGTAATATTCTAATTAATAGCGATGCATTGTTAAATGACGAATTCAGAAGAAATAGATGGATTTGGTGTGGGTTGGGGGGAAATACTGAAGTTTGGTAATCAGAAATAATTTATTGCCATAGTTGTGATTATGTAAATATAAGACAGATTTAAAGACCGTACTCTTTGGTGAATCTCCAGGTACAATAGGCAGTTCCTTCCAAGAAGATGTCGATTCCATTCTCCAACACCCACTACCGAATTCCACAAGGATTTGGGAATCTTCTTGAAGGGCTGACACGTGAGATTCTGAGGCAGCAACCGGAAAATATACCATCTTTTGCAGCAGCATATTTTGAGAGTCTTCTAGAGCAGAGAGAGAGTAAGCTTTTTTTAAAAAAATAGGCATCTTTAAAAAAGTAGAGAGAGACTTAAGTACTTGTTTAGGGTGAAACTTGCTTAAGACCATCCCTATTCCTCAGAAATCCTCGTACTAGGCAGGTAGCTTTGTCACAGTTCTTGGTGTTTGAAACAGCATACGCCTTTTTGGCAGGTTTGCTCAAATCACATTATTTCACATTATTGAAGATGACCGGTTATGACCCAGACCTTCTTGCTTACATATTGGGTGGAAGGTGACCCCACAAGGTCATTTAGGATAGCTCTCCATTTCCCAGCAGGCTGTTCGCATACACCCAAGCCAGTGGACATCTGTTCTCACTGGGAGGAGAGTTTGTGTTTTCCTTCCTTCCTTCCTTCCTTCCTTCCTTCCTTCCTTCCTTCCTTCCTTCCTTCCTTCCTTCCTTCCTTTTTTTTTTTTTTTATATATTTTATTGATTTTTTTACAGAGAGGAAGAGAGAGGGATAGAGAGTTAGAAACATCCATGAGAGAGACTCATCGATCTGCTGCCTCTTGCACACCCTCCACCGGGGATGTGCCAGCAACCAATGCACATGCCCTTAATCGGAATCAAACCCGGGACCCCTCAGTCCATAGGCCAACGCTCTTATCCACTGAGCCAAACAGGTTTCGGCGAGTTTGTGCTTTTCTTTACCTTTTTGCTCTTTTTACTTGAAGGTATGTTAAGTATGGTAAATAATAATAATAATAATCCTACACACCTTAGATTATATAAACTGGTACTTGCTGAGGGATCTGAAACTGTCCTACAAGAAAGGCACGGAGAAAAAGTGCTTTGAAAAGTGAACTTCCATTCTCCCGAGGTTCCATCCTGCTCAGACTAAGACTCAGGCTAACCCTGACTCTCTGGTTGAGAGCCAAAGCAACTCCTTCACGTTCAGAAATAAAATTTCCAGATTCCCCACCTGGAAGGTTCATCAAGACCCTACCTAATGGTCAAGTGGGGATTGTTACAGCTATCATTGTCTATTTAAAACGTGTCACTAGAGCCACAGTTTTTAATATAAGCTATTATCATTACTTCTTATTACAGTATTCTAACAGGGTGGTAAAGGTGCCCAGAGACACCACAAATAAATAAACATTCCATTTTAAATCTTTTTAGGAGGAGGGAGCACAAGGCTTGAATTGAAACAACTCCCATCCACACTGCATAGCTCTCCACCCACTGTCTTTGCTCTACCCTGGCAGAGCTCAAAATCTCTGCCAGTTTCCTGACGGTTGCTGATCTTGTCCATATCCAGTCACTGAATATTTGTTGCCCAATCTGAAGCGCAAGTGCCGCTAGGAGAGCTAGGGAGAGAGATCCTTTAGGGCAGTGGTTCTCAACCTTCCTAATGCCGTGGCCCTTTAATACAGTTCCTCATGTTGTGGTGACCCCCAACCATAAAACTATTTTCGTTGCTACTTCAGAACTGTAATTTGCTACTGTTATGAATCGTAATGTAAGTATCTGTACAGCAACGAAAATAATTTTATGGTTGGGGGTCACCACAACATGAGGAACTGTATTAAAGGGTCGCAGCCTTAGAAAGGTTGAGAATCTCTACTTTAGAGTAACAAACATTAATTTTGTTGTTATAACTTTATTTTATAGATTAATAAGTAAAATGTCTTTAATGAAATGTCTTTAGTCATTTATTTAAATTTAGACCTTGAAAACACCCTATTACAAAACATTTGAGTCATTGTTACTGGATCAGGAAAATTAAAGCAATTGGTGATTCAGAGTAATGGTCTCAGAATACTAACTCGAATAAAAATGAGTAAGACTATTTGAAAAATTTGAAAAAGTTTTAAGCATCATGCCCATTTTCACTCACGTAACCACAGCTGAGCTTTCTAACTGATACAAGTATTAGGATTTAGTCTCCAAGTGGGAAGAATGAAGTCCTCTAAGCCAGTCTCTCACACAGTGCAAGCATTCCTCATAGGTAATTACTAGTCTTAATTTTTATTTTAGTGACAAGACGTACGTTAGTAAATTAAATAAGTGGCATCGAAATATCACTAGACAAAAGGTGGGCTTTTATTAAATGATATAATAAAGATGGAAAAAGTTAAAATTTGATCTATTCTTTACATGATACACCAGGATAAGTTCCAAATTGATCAAATATTTAAATATTTTTAAATGAAATCTACAAATACTAGAAGAAAATGTGGATAAATTTTCTCTATAACATAAAGGGGGAGAGGGAGGGGATTGCTAACCAAGTTGCTATAATTATTTAAAAATCCGAAAGCAATTAGGGGAAAGATGGAGATAAAATTGACAATATTACGTGACAAAAATTGCCATATGGAAAATAAAACTACAATGACAAACTGAGAAAAAAACTGTTTGCAATTTAAATCTCAACTGGTTAATCAGCCTAATAAACAGCTTGTAAAAACAGTGAGAAAAAAGCCCAACAATGCTACATAAAAAAATGGGCAAGTGATAGGAGTTTACACAAAAATAAATACAAATGGCCCCGGCCAGTTTGGCTGTGTTCAGTAACATCTCATGCACCAAGAGGCCACTGGTTCAATTCCCATTTCATTCACATGCCAGTAGGGGGCATGCAGGAGACAGCCAATGAATGTTCTCTCTGCATCTCGCTCTCTCAAATCTATTAAAAAATATTTTTAAAAATAAATGCAAATGGTCCTTAATATATTAAAACCTACTTAAATTAACCCATAATAATAGAGGCCCATATCAAAACTACGCTGAGGTACCACCATCCCACCTCAAGTACCTCTACTCATCAGATTGGCAAAAAGCCAAAAGTTTGCCAATTCCAGTTAGATACAATCCCAAGGAGGGGAAATGGTGCAATGACCCAGAAATTCCACTTCTTTACTTTGCATTTCATTGTTATTTGAGGAAGCAACCCAAATACCCATAATAGGTACTTATTGAATAAACTAGAGTATATCTACACAATAGAATAATACACCGCTTTAAAAAACAATGAGGAAGATCTCTAGATTTTGCTATGGAGTGATACTCAAGATACATTAAGTGAAAAAAGTGTAAAAAGTATGTGTAGTATGCCATTATCTAATAAAGGAGTGTTGATATGACTACATAACTGTTCATTTATATTTTAAATATTTTAAAATGACGTTCACCTCTAGAGAGAGGGGCACAGAGTGGAGGGAACAAGATGGAAGCGAGAGTTCTCTGAATATATCTTGAGTTCAAAATCATAAATGTTAACATAGTAATAAAATAAAAATTTAAAATTGTTAATTTCTAAAATGTAGAAGCAAAATGCAACAGACATAACTAACTAGAATTGAATGGATAGCATAACCACACAGATACAAATTATTTTCAGTGACTTTATGACACTAGGGCCCAGCACACAAAATCACGCAAGACCCAGCCTCAAGTCCCACCAGCACCACGGGACTGGCCTTTGATCATTACAGTGTTACAACCACTAGGTTTTTATTATGTAGATAATTTGTACATCCCTGATGGCTATAGCCTTAAAACAAAATGAATTTTAACATATCTTAAATTATTTTTAGTAATTCTTGTTACTATTATAATATAGTTATCCTGTAATTATTTTTTACAATTGTAGGACATAGCAAATAAGTAATTCTCCTACTGTAATTAGGAATAAGATTTATAATGTAAGAAAAATGATTTACAAATATAAAGTTGATAAGATCCTATAATCCTAAATTTGAATTGAAAATGTAAAATATGAAACATAAAAATAAAGTCATCTATAACAATAAAGGAGTAATATGCTAATTAGACCGGACAACCTTCCAGACAACCTTCCAGGTGAAGCCGGACTGGGAGGGCTGAGGCAGCCACCGCCATTGCCTCGGGCAGAGCCCCTTGCATGAATTTTGTGCATTGGGTCTCTAGTATAAATATAAAAATAAATGTATTATGTATATAAAAAAGTAAATAAAATCCTGTAATCCTAAATTTGAATTTAAAAGTATCAGTGTGACCTCTGATATAGCAGAGGTCACACTGATATTTTTAAATTATAAATATATATATATTAATAAAGGAAGTGCCCTGGCCATTTGGTTCAGTAGCATGTTGACCTATGAACCAGGAGGTCAGGGTTCAATACACAGAGCACATGCCTGGGTTGTGGGCTCAATCCCCTGTGTGGGGCATGTGAGAAGCAGCTGATCGATGATTCTCTCTCATTATTGATGTTACTATTTCTCCCTCTCCCCTCCTCTCTCCAAAATCAATAAAAACATAAAAAATAAAATAAATGTCTTTTAATTCCATACATTTTCATAAAGACCTCAAAACAAAGACTAACCCAGTACCAGTGAATACCTGGCTCAACACAATAGTCTCTTCCTACCATTTCCCCAGGAAACAGGCTTCTTGGAGAAGTAGGTAATTTCTTGAACTGGGAGGAAGAGCCTGAATTTTTTGCCATCCCAGAAAAATAAGGAAACTGTCATAGATTACTAGAGTTGTTTCCAAAGGACTCAAGAGCATCTAAGAACCCAAATAAACCCCTACTGGACAGTTTTGGATAACAAGAACATCAATAAGAATAATAAATGTGCTCTAGCCAGTTTGGCTCAGTGGATAGAGCCTTGGCCTGCAGAACGAAGGGTCTCGGGTTCAATTCCAATCCAAGGACATGTACCTTGGTTGCAGGCCCCTCCCCAGCCGAGGCCTGGTTGGGGCTTGTGCAGGAGGCAACCAGTCGATATGAGAGAAACATATTTCTCTCTGTCTTTCCCTCTCCCACTTTCAAAATCAATGGAAAAATATCCTTGGGTGATGATAAAAAAGAATAATAAATGTAATGAGTTGAAATTCATCCAATTTGTTAAATATTCATGAGTTCATAATGATAAAAAAAAAATGAAGCTCCTTAAGAGAATCCTAAGGAACCCACTGATTATTGTGAAAAGTGGTAAATAAAAGAATCAAACCTTTAACCTACCTTTTCTGTAAGAACTGTATTTCAGGGTAACCAAATAGTTGTTGAGGAAAAGTTTTTTGTTGTTTTTTATTGAGTACTCCAGAAATGAAGTAATAATAAAATTAGAACCCTGCCATTATGCAACACCTAAAAAAATTATCTAAAGAGTCATCAATGGGTCCATAAAAATTGTAAAGAGAGACAATCAGGTACTATGTATCTCCTGACAGTATTATACTGCACTACCGATATTCTTGCCCAAAACAATCAGACATGAATCAGATCGAACTGTAGATCTAACTAACTAGCAGTCTTTGGAAAGTTCAAAGGCAAAGGAACTTATGGGAATGGAATAAAAACTATCTAAAACATTTGGGTCATTTTCCTATGGAAAACTCCAAAGGAAAATGACCCAATTTTATCAACAAATAAATTGCAAGAAAATAATATGGGGTGAGAGGTAGGGAGCTTTCCATGAGCAAAGATGTAAGACAAAATGTTCTCATCCTGTGGAAACCGGTTTGGCTCAGTGGATAGAGCGTCAGCCTGTGGACTGAAAGGTCCCAGGTTCGATTCCAGTCAAGGGCAAGTACGTTTGGTTGCGGGCACATCCCCAGTGGGAGGTGTGCAAGAGGCAGCTGATAATGATTCTCTCTCATCGATGTTTCTAACTCTCTATCCCTCTCCCTTCCTCTCTGTAAAAAAAATCAATAAAATGTATTTTTAAAAATGTTCTCATACTTCACTCTTCCAAACCTCCTTACTATTTAGCATTTATTTGTATACATTTTTCTGAGTTTACTAATTCATGCTTATACATTTCTATACTTATATTTCAGTATTGGCATTTTTTTCTCTCTCATTTTGTTATAGATTTTGTATAGGCAGTTTTTTACTGCCTTTCTAAATATACCCAAGGGCTTATCTAATGTTTAATTCATCAGCATGTATTTAATGATCTCTGCTTATGTCTGCAGTGCTAAGCTATGTATAACAGCAGTAAGACTTTCAACTGGCATCAATGAACCTGTGATTTGAAAAAGCTTATTTTGTGTTACTTTAGATGGACTTTAATGAACTCAAAATAAGTCCAAAATTAATATATTTTTATTGTTTAGAAACCAACTTCGATCCAGCAGAATGGGGAAGTAAGGTGGACGACCGCTTCTATAACAACCATGCATTCAAGGTATGGTCCCGTGAAACTAATGGATTTGGCTATCTCTTTTCCCTGCCTCCAAACAGAGATTATTGGGATCTCCCCAGACTCATATAAATTGTGAGAGGCAGCCAATGTATCCTATTAAAGCTTCTTAATTGTAATGTTCTTTCAGATGAGACATTCTTTTCCAAAGTATCTGAATCATACCAGATACATAGTTTAAATTTAAATATGATCAACAGGAAGGATGTAATCAAAGTTATAGGATAATTAGTCTCATTTATTCAAATTTTATTGGGCATCAGTGCTTAGCAGTAGCAGATGATAAGTATTTATTGAATTAATGAGTGGTATTTCATAAAATAAAACACCGTTCGTCCAGTTACTTCATTGTCATTGCACTTTACAAAAGACTGAATAGACTTAAAGATGGTAGTGGTAGATAGAATTTTCCGTATAAAGCTAATCTGTTCAGAGACTGAACTTGTCTTCTCTTTACTAGCATTCTTAGAACCAGTCTTTCTCAGCCAAGGTACCTTAAAATAATTAAGTCCTGCCGAAACCAGTTTGGCTTAGTGGATAGAGCGTCGGCCTGTGGACTGAAGGGTCCTGGGTTCAATTCCGGTTAAGGGCATGTACCTTGGTTGTGGGCACATCCCCGGTGGGGGGTGTGCAGGAGGCAGCTAATCGATGTTTCTGACTTTCCGTCCCTCTCCCTTCCTCTCTGTGAAAGATCAATAAAATATATTTTAAAAAACAATAATAATAATTAAATCCTAACTGGAAGGCACACATTTCCTGTAAGGAATCAATGTCTCTCCTTTGTATCAAGAACGTTTCATCATTTCACCATAGTTAATGCATCCTTTTGGAGAGAAGTGAGACAATCATTACTTAAAATATTCCGTGTTCCGAGGGCCAGAGAAGAAATACTGGTTGAGAAAAGCTGTGTAGAACACAGCGTCATTGGCATCAACTAGAAATGGTAGAAATTCATTCAGTCTAGAACCCTATCGCAGGTCTACAAATCAGAAGTTGAATTTTAACAAGATCCCCAAAGGTAAAATGTAGGTACATTAAAGTCTGAGCAAGCACTGCTTTAGACAGCTGTGATCAACCATTAGCCACAAAGCACCCACACATATTTGAATGAAAAGGAATGAACACAGTTAGTGTTCCACAGTAGATTTGGGGAATTTCCTGGGGAAATATCTGTCACCTATTCCATGAGTTCAGAAGTAAGTTTCCATCCATTTGTGCCTGCCAGATAAGATACACGTTCTGTTTATTTCCATTTAACTAGATTCTCTGTGTTCGTGCTTTATTGGAATCAAAGGAAAATGTTGGAAATTTTAAAATATTGGTGCTATATCAGCTGTTTCTTCTCTTTTGAAATCTAAAGACTTTATTTGATTAGCCTATTTATCCTTTCTATTTTATGCATTAAGGAAGCTATTCCCATAAATTGGAAATTAGTAATGTCTCTATTTTGGAAAAAGATTCCATAACTCTGTAAAAACAGGCAGAGCTGGCTTCCCTTTTTCTATGTAAATCATCCCCCACAACAGAACTTACTCTTTGACTTAGATTTAAATCTACAAATGTCATTAAAAAGTCAACAGGATTCCACACTATGCAACACAATGACATTTCTTTTGTTTCTATTTTAGAAACTATTGGCACCTCTTCTTTATACTGTTCAGGATTCATTACAGCATCTTATTGACTTTTAGTATAAGACAATAGCTTGTTTTGAATATAAAACAATGTCATATACTTTCCAGAAGCAAAAAAACCACCTTTTTTTTTTTTTTTTTTACCAATTCCTTCATCTTTAATACTTACTCATATTCCCTTGAGAGTTTTGTTCTTTTTCCACCCATTGTCCTTGTTAAAAATCAGTATGTATTTAATTACCATTTTTTCTCAATAACTTAAAGTAATATTTCATTACCTTTAAGCAGCTTGATCCATGATTACTATTTTTTGAAATATTGCTTATTTGGTCCTCTCCCCTCTCTCCAGGAGCAAGAACCAGCTGAGAAAGAAAAGACTCAGGCAGCTGAGAAAGTGGAGACACCAAGCACACCCTTAGTAAGTTAAATTTGCCATGCACTATTAGAAAAAAATATCACTCAATTTATAATCATACTCTAAATATGAATCTAGTCTATTATCCATGTTGTTAAAATTGTGATTTCGCTTTCTAGATAGCTAACATCAGTAATAAACTAACTGGTGGATCACTTTTAAAGTCGTGCCTCTTATAAAGAAAAAATCACTCTTCCCTTTAAATCTTATTTCCCAAGATTATCAACAGATGGAAAAATCTCCTCCAGGGGAAGAACAGGCAGAACTCACCAGCCTCATGCTTGACCCTTCAGATTCACTTTCCTATTGGGGAGCTTTTCACTCAGTGATGATGTGACTCCACACAGTGGCAAAGGTCCCGAGATGACAAAGGAAACCCACAGGGAATTATGCAACCAAATGAAATGGCATTACGCAGTGTGTCTTGCCTTCCATGCATTGCCCTCTACAAAAAACGACTTCCTGACTGACAGCCCACATCTAAGGGGACCTGGGTAGATGCCTCTGTGAGTCTTCTAATCCCTAGTGTGCTAGAGCCAGCTTTCATCTTCCGGGAGAGGGTAGTGCGCATCTCTCCAAAGCCCTGTGTGTGGTAACGTCACTTCGGTAGCTTGAAATCAGCCATAGAAGGAGTATTAAGACCATGACAAATGGAATGAATCAGGATTCCCCCCCTTTGCCCCCATACCCGGAGAGCATTTACCAGCATATCACTATAATTTTCATAATCCAGACTCAAGAGGACCAAGCCTAGTGAGAAAGAAGAGCTCACTCTTCCCAATTCTGAAGGCCAGACTTTTGAGTTCCTTTTCATGTCCCAGTTGGTTACTCAATAATTGACACCTAAAATAGGCATCCCCCTGAAGGAATACCTTAACTACTACCCAGTGGGGCATAACTTTTCCCTATAGCCTTAATAAGTTATTCCAGAATTAAATCAGTGCAACTTAGCCTAACATTGGCACAAGACGCAGAGGGAGACGGGAAAGAAGGAAGTTTTGTTTCCTTATACCACTAGGTGCCCTTCCACAGCTCTTCATGAGTCTGAGCTGGGATCCCATTGATTTCCAACCTCAGGATAATTTACTTGCCCATTTTGAGCCATCATCTCAGAGGACTTTATACCATTCGTTTGCATTTAAAAGTTTAAGAGCCCCAGCTGATATGGTTCAGTGGTTGTAGCATCCACATGTGTACTGAAGGTCACAGGTTCAGTTCCTGGTCAGGGGCCCATAACTGGGTTGCAGGTTCAATCCCCAGCCCCTGGTGGGGGCATGTGTGGGAAGCAACCAATCAATGTGTGTGTCTTACATATCTTAATTGTTACATCCCTAAATTGATTAAATATATGCAGGGTTTTTTTTTGTATACATTCTTTTTTATGGCATCAAAATACTGTATGGGGCCCTGGATGGTGCTGCTCAGTTGCTTGGGAGTTTGCCGATTTGATTCCCAGTCAGGGCATGTCCCTGGTAGAAGGTTCAACCCCTGGTAGGGGGCATGCAGGAGGCAGCCAATCCATGTACCACTCTCACGTCACTGTTTCTCTCTCACTCCTTCTCCCTTCCCCCTCTCTGAAAATCAATAAAAATATTTTTAAAAATAAAATTTTAAAATTAAAAATCTTTAAAAAAAATACCGTGTGGGATGTTTACAAAGTCTCTTTTTCTCCTCCCCATGCAGGAATCTTCTGATGATGATAAGGATAAAGAGGAGCTGGCTGCCGTCAAAATTCAAGCCGTGTTCCGGGGACACTTGGCCAGAGAGGAGGTGAAGAAAATGAAACAAGACGATGAGCCTGAAGAGCAAACACAGGAAGACAACTGAGGAGACTGGTTTTGCCCCCCCAGAAACATGAACAAGTAGCTCAGATCCATCAACCATGTTGTGATTATCGTTCTTTTCTTCGAGGTTGGATGCAGTGGAATAGCATTGGCTGCTGTTGTGAAAATCTGTCATCAGCATTTGTTTAATAAACATGCCATTGAACACATGCTCTTGAAGATTTCTCTGAGATCATAAGTCTTATTTATACTTCTCCGAGTCTATGTATAGAGACCCTTGGATGTAGACCGGGAATGTATGAGTTTTCAGAGATCTCAGAGGTCATGTGGTCTAACCGTTACCTAATGAACAAGTCCTCTCTACCACATCCCTGACAACAGTCTGATTTAGCTCCTGTTCCATGCATCGTGATAGAGAATCTCACCGCCTTTCGAGGGCAGTCCAGTTAATTTTAGAATGACTTGAATTATTAGAAGATAAAGCTGAGTCAAACATCTGCCTCTTTGTAAGTTTTCATCTGGCATGCCTGCATTCAACCATTCATTAAAAACTATTGAGCAGAATTCGTGTGCTGTGGTTTGGTAGTGAATATCTGTTCTCACATTTATGCAGCTGACGTCTTTATCTCGCTCTCCAGAATGACACAGAATAAGACTAATGCATCATATTTGAAAAAAACGAAAGCTATTATAACATCATAAATACTCTCTTCTTCAGCTAAAACTTCCCACACTTGTTTTTAAAAATATATTTTTTATTGATTTCAGAGAGGAAGGGAGAGGGGGAGAGAGAGAGAAAAACATCAAAGATGAGAGAGAATTATTGATCAGCTGCTTCCTGCATGCCCCCTACTAGGGATCGAGCCCACAACCTGGGCATGTGCCCTGACTATGAATCGAACTGTGACCTCCTGATGCATAGGTTGTCACTCAACCTTTGAGCCACGACAGCCAGGTCTCCCACATTTCTTTAATGTAGAAATGGTAATACGTTCATCACAAAATCACAAAATTTGGCAAACCAAGCCTGGTGCCTTATTTTTAGGAAGTTCAGTCTCTCCTTTTTGAGGCCTCCCCGCTCTTGAATATTCAAGAAACTGTAAGGCTCATGTCTTACACTGAAAGATACAGTTCCTTTTCCAAAGGAAAATAAAGGGAAAGCAGACTCCTTCCATATAATGCTGTTGCCTTCTACCACAAAGACGCAGCCTCGTCGTTCCTGTCTAAACTACTTTGGATGTCCCGGGCGTGGGTTCTAGCATTATACCTCTCTTAGTCACAGACACCCCGCCTTGGTCCTCAGAGCTCACTAGCATGCCTGTGGCTCGTCCGTGAGGAGTTTCTAAAACAGCCATAGGTTATGCATAATGAGTGGTCTCCCACAAACTCCTAGATCTCTGTCTTAAGCTCAGACTTTCTGCAAAGCAATGTTTTTCGGGTCCCTGTAGGCCTTCCCTGTCACGGAGCTCCACAACAGTCCTTTACCCAAGCAATCTCACACAGATGGCTTATACCAGTGGTCAGCAAATTGTGGCTCTTGAGCTACATACGGCTCTTTGGCCCCTTGAGTTTTTAGCAAAGGCCAGCTTAGGAGTACCCTAATTAAGTTCATAACAATGTACCTACCTATATGACTCTATCTCTCTCCCTTCCTCTCTGTAAAAGATCAATAAAATATATTTTTTTAAAGTGAGAAAATACCCTGCTCACCATGCAATCATAGCAATGACCTCATGTGCCCCTAATGCTACCAGAGGGCAGTGAAAATTTGTGAAGAACCAGTAATTCAACTGAGTACAGTTTGCTCTTCCTTTTCTTTCATTTTAAAAAACATATATATATCTTCATTGATTTTCAGAGAGGAAGTGTGAGGGGGAGAGAGATAGAAACATCAATGATGAGAGGTCATCATTGACCGGTTGCCTCCTGCACGCCCCCCATGGGGATCGACCCTGCAACCCAGTCATATGCTCTTGACCGGAATCAAACCTGGGACCTTTCAGTCCACAGGCAGATGCTCTATCCATTGAGCCAAACCAGCTAGGGTTGCTCTTCCTTTTCACATGCAAAGTATATTCACTCCTATCCCAAGACTCCTGAAAAGTCCACCAAATCCTTGAAATGTAGGATATACATTAGGTCCAGATATGGCTGTTCTTTTTTTTTTTTTTTTTTTTTTAATATATATTGATTTTTTTTACAGAGAAGAAGAGAGAGGGATAGAGAGTTAGAAACATCGATGAAAGAGAATCATCGATCAACTGCTTCTTGCACAACCCCTACACACCGCCTACTGGGGATGTGCCCGCAACCAAAGTACATGCCCTTGACCGGAATCGAACCTGGGACCTTTCAGCCTGCAGGCCGACGCTCTAGCCACTGAGCCAAACCGGTTTCAACCAGATATGGCTGTTCTTTTTTTTTTTTTTTTTAAATATATTTTATTGATTTTTTACAGAGAGGAAGGGAGAGATATAGAGAGCCAGAAACGTTGATGAGAGAGAAACATTGACCAGCTGCCTCTTGCATACCCCCTACTGGGGATGTGCCCGCAACTCAGGTACATGCCCTTGACCGGAATCGAAACCGGGACCTTTCAGTCCGCAAGCCAATACTCTACCACTGAGCCAAACCGGTTTCCGCCAGATATGGCTGTTCTTGATGTCCTGTTGTCCTTCTGCCTTTAAACATGACATCATCCCCTTTTGCTGTTGTTCCCAAACCAACTAAACAGTGACTTTCTTAATTTCTCCATAAAATTAGCCCACTAGTTTCTCTTGATTGTAACATTTGAAAGCTTTTCACCAAGTACCACATTTTCTTAAAACTGTGGGTTTTCCTCCTGTAAGATCATTCCCATGTGCTTGCTTACTGGGAAGGAGAGGAGGCCATACAAGAGCCAGGCACTAATTTCCTACCTGCAGCTCTCATGGCCTGGGGATATATCTAAAGAGCATGATACATACCTAGGACTAGGACTTCGGCTTTTCATTTTTAGTCCTATTCTCCTCTCCCTGCTCAAATATTAAAACAAGAGAGATCGTGGTCACTTAGCTACCACTTTGGGCCCAGGATCAGATTTTTCTGGGGTGGCCATATGTATCGGTGATAAACATATAACGATGGCCATATGTATCTGTAATAAACATATAATGGTGATTTTATACCAATTTGTGATGTGGATAAACTCATTTGCAAACTGAAGTGCTTTTGACAAACATAGCCACTGGGAGTGACATGTATGCCTGGGAGGCTCTCAGAAGTGACCAAACCTGCAAAAGACAATACTTCAGAGTGTGACCTTATTTTTGTGAATGAAATGTTCTTGGGAAAAAGCAGTGTTTTTGTGTAGAGCCAAAAATAAAAGCCTGCTGGGTGGTGATGTTATTGTAACTAACACCTTAAGCATCATCACACTCATGACTAGTCACCCTAGTTAAGAATTATCAACATTCCTAGACCAAGAGACCACCACAGGAAGTGCATAAACATACTATCCCCAAAGATCAGATATGATATGAAGTCTGCTAGTACTCTGACCCCAAAGACACCTGTCTCAGAGGTTTCTGATCAAGAATTAAATATTTTGCCGGGACCGGTTTGGCTCAATGGAGAGAGCGTCGGCTTGGGGACTGAGGGGTCCCGGGTTCGATTCCGGTCAAGGGCATGTACCTTGGTTGCGGGCATATCCCCAGTAGGGGGTGTGCAAGAGGCAGCTGATCGATGACTCTCTCTCATCGACGTTTCTGACTCTCTATCTCTCTCCCTTCCTCTCTGTACAAAATCAATAAAATATATTTAAAAAAAAAAGAATTAAATATTTTATTACTAAAAAATAGGGCTCAGTTTGGTAAACCAGATATGAAACCAATTTTGAAAGGCATCAGGAAAACTTGTTTTTTGAAATCCTGAAACAAATAGAAAACATGCTTGCAGTGCTATCCAATTAATGACTTTAGAATCCTTGCTTTTATTTGTTTATTTTTAAAAATATTTTTTAATATATTTTATTGATTTTGTACAGAGAGGAAGGGAGAGAGATAGAGAGTTAGAAACATCGATGAGAGAGAGTCATCGACCAGCTGCCTCTTGCACATCCCCTACTGGGGATATGCCCGCAACCAAGGTACATGCCCTTGACTGGAATCGAACCCGGGTCCTCCAGTCCCCATGCCTACGCTCTATCCATTGAGCCAAACCGGTTTCGGCTATTTGTTTATTTTTATTAAAAAATATATTTTTAATGATTTTAGAGAGGAAGAGATACAAACATCAACGAGGAGAGAGAATCGCTGACTGGCTGCCTCCTGCACGGCCCCTATTGGGGATGGAGCCCGCAACCTGGGCATGTGCCCTGACCAGGAATCAAACCATGACCTCCTGGCTCATAGGTCAACAGTCAACCACTGAGCCATGCCGGCCGCAAGCTAGAGTCCTTTGCTCTTAGATTGCTTGGGTAGTGTCATGAAGGTTTGTGACTTGCCCTCTTTTTCAGGACTAACGACCACAACCTTTTTAAGAAATGCCTTCAGCATTAGGGAGCGGGTTATTGTGGGTTTTACCCTCCCTGGGGGGCAGCTTCTCTCTAAGGGCAAGTCACAGCTGTGGTAAAAGGGTGTGGACCCTTGCCTCAGATTGAGACAGCTCTACTCTCAACCATAGGATTTGTTACAGTTCAACTCCACCCTCTATCCAGCCCTTCTTCCCTACCGTCCTTACAGTTATTGTTCCTGAATGCACTCGCCAATAAACCACCTCTACTCAAAGTCTTAAAACCGTTGGTCTCAAAAGCCATTCTCAGCAACCTGACCTATGACAAGTAAATTGAAAATCTCTGACATACTTGCACATTAAAAAATTATTTGATTCCTCTAATATCATCTATCCAAAAACTCAGTGACAGGCATACCTGCTGGTCAGGGGCTAATTTATAATAGAAAAATATATACTTCTATTTCTTCTCTAATTGAATTATAATTACCAAAATTCCAAATAGTAATGTTATGTACTGAACTGTGTCTCCAAAATTCATATGTTGAAGCC